ATATATATATATATATATATATATATTGTGAAAAGGATTAAGTCTGCCAAACTACTACCGAACGCAGCTCCACCATAGTGAGCTTAAACATTGTGTTGAGCTAGCCCTCCCAAGTTGGGTGGCTCAACAATGGAGGTGCACCTTGAGTGCACGGTGAATGGCAGAAAACTAGGAAAGTTTTTGTTTTGAAGCTGCACAATGTTTCCGATGCGGACATTCCTATTCTTGAAGAAAATGGGAAAAGCAAAGTGGACTCCTCCAACTTTGGATATGTTGACATGTTAATCCCTGATAGGATAGTGTTACACTATTCTTGTATCCAAAAGCTCCCTATTTTATCTCTTGTTTAAATTTAAAAGAGTGCAGATGGATGAGAGCGTGAAAAACAGAGTAGGAAACCAGTGCAGAAAAATAGAGTGAGGTTGAGAGCAAATCTCCCTTGTTGATGCTAAAACTTTGAGAGATTCACATTGTGATCCAAAAGTTGTAATCCATTTTCAGTAGCGGATTGTTTTTCATCTAGGCAAATGCCTCGTGGTTTTTCCCATTTAGGTTTTCCATGTAAAAATTCTGGTGTCCTCTTTATTTTACTTGCTTGCTTATTCTGTTTTTGGGTGATTGATTGTGTCTTTGATTGCTTTGATTCTGGGCATTGGACCATTAAAACCACAACACATCACTTACACTCTCACACGCTGACCTGTCCATCCATCCAACCTTCTTTCCACTCTTTCTTCAATGTTACAGAGTCTTCACGCACTCTCTCTTGCTTAAGTCTCTTCCCCAAGCCTTGATTAGTTTATTCTACTTCGTTCTAAACCCCTTCAAATCAATCAATTCCGTCGTTCCTTGAATCCAATCAATGGAAATTTGAAACTTTTATCCCTTCTCGAACGGCCCTGATTCAATCAATCATTCAAACGAGAATTACCGTGCATCGCATCCCTGATCCGTCAGTTGAGGAGGTTGAGTTTTTTCAATAAATTCCGATCGAATAACCCAGATCAGTTCTTCTGTTCACATGCAAGACTTGATTGACACGGATGATTCAGACAATTATTTTGGAACAAAAGATTCTACAATGAAACTAAATGACCGAAATGCAGCAAATCCAATTACAGCCTCACCTCTAATTGATGATTTATATGGAAACGGAATGGATCCAGGACCCAGCACCACCGAATGGGAAATGATGATGACCCTGTTGCAGATGTGTCATTTCTTGCTGGTGAAGTTAAAGAAATTGTGGATGATCTCTTCTCTGGTGTGATTATTGATGGGAAGTTTACTGCCAATGGAAATCATGTTGCTGCATATGCTTCTGACCTATTTGATATTTTTTTGGGACCAGTATTAATCTTCCATTGGAGCAAGAGAAGCAAAAAATTGATGTTAATGATTTAATGGCTGGCTTATCCACCACCACAAATGAGAAGTCATCTAATATCAAACAAAATGGTTCCTCTTCTTATATTTGCATATATCAATATCCATAGTAGATATCAGGCCTCTAATGATATCCTTTAAGTGGCATGCTTTTTTATTGGAATGAATTCAAATCCATTGTTTCCTTCTGGAGCTATACCATACACTATACCTGTTGGTTTAATGTTGAACCAAGCGTTTTCTCCTCAGCTTATAAATTATGTTGCCTTGGGTAACTTCTTTGCTCAGCAGCCATTGCTAGCAACAATGTCCAACCTCCAACACTTTGCAAACTTGAACGCAAAAAATCCTGGTATCAGTAATGGTAGCGAAACAAATGGAGGATATTCATCACCCCTTCCTGATATTTTTCAGTCAAACTTTCCAAATCCAGCCCCTACTTTCTCTGACGAACAGTTTGAAGAAAGAGGAAGCAAGAGCATTTGATTTTATTTCGGTAAGTTCGAGCTCTAGCACTCGGTATTTAGGTGCTTTTTTTATCATCTTTTAACTGGGCTGTGTTCTAAATAGATCATAACATGGAAATTTATCTCGCTTCTAATTCATTATTTCTCTCTCTTCGGAATGGAATAGTTCGTAGGAACCGCTAGTAACATAGTATCTACTTAGCCATTGGAGAGAGGGAGTAGGAAAATTTTAGAATTATTGGCAATTTTTACTTTAATTGAGTTCTGCAGTTTTTTTAAGTGCATAATTTTGATAACGTTTGTTGTGTCTATTTGTTGGATCACCTTGCTTTTGCTCGTGATGGAAAGAGGGTTGTTTGAAGGTTTGAGCCAATGATTGACATCTTGCAATCTTCTTGCTTTCCATGAGGTAACATTCTTTTGCAATAATGGAGCAGATGGAGTCAGCGGCAACCCAAAGAGAGTTTGGTTGAGGCCTGAGAGGAGAGGAGAGGAGAAGAGGATGAAACAAAGGGAATGAACTAATGACTTGTTGATCCGAGTGGAAAAAACTCGGTTCCTCTTAAGTAAGGTTTCGAGTTCAAATCTCGTGAATGGAGAAACAGGCGCTAGAAGAACTTCCCCTTAGGGGTCTGAAGTGATTCGATTTCAAATTAGTTGGGACCCAATGTAATTATCAAATATAAGGAGGTTAATACTTAAAAAAAAAAAAAAACGAAGAAGGAATAAAGGAAGATATGTATGGCCGAGCATGTCTGTCCAGTTGAGAGGGTGGATCAGTCATGGGAGAGGTGGATATGGAGGGTGTGTGCGACTGAGGGTTGCAGAGAAGATAGCAGTTTCAAATTGGGGGAAAATTGAATGATCAAAACCCCAACCTCATGTTTGGGCTGAGGGGAATGAAGTAGAGGGGAATTACATCTTTCTATTCTCCTCCATTCCCCTTCACTCACTTCTTTTCTTTTAGATAAATAACTAAATTAGAGAAAAAAAAAAAAGTAAAAGAAAATTTTCTCTTCCTTTTCCCTTTCAATTTTTTGGCAATGAAATAAAAAACTTTTTTTCCCCACCCTTTATTCCCTTCAACCCAAACATACTATAAGAGAAATTTGGTTTAAAGTGTTTTAATGAGCCCCACTAATATATGATATATATATATATATATAGTTAATTTCATCCAATTAGCAAAACATGAAAGCAATGCATGGTTTCTTTTAAACATGTCAGCAAACCACTAGAAATTTCCGTCAGCCACCTTAGCTTCCTTAAATGGAAAACTCACTAAGTTGGTGTATTTATTTTTCAAAAAAACTTAAAGTCAACAGTTTTATTTAGAAATTAAAAAGTTTGTATTCTTAATAGTAAAAGTTATCAATGACTTAAATAATTTAGTGGTCATATCTTTCCGTTGAAAATAAGAGGTTCTGAATTTGAGTCGCATGGTATGCGGATGGGGTAAAATAAAAGATGAAGATAGTTACTTCTTATTATGCAACCAAGATTAAAAAAAAAAAAAAAAGTAAAAGCAGCAAAGTTGGAATTCATTCTTACCTGCTCCTTTACTCTAACTTATCATCTTCTCCACTGCAAGTCAAGAAGTTTACACCCCTTGGTTTTCCTCAGGATTCTTTACTTATTTCACTTAGTTATCTAATGGTATCTTCTCATAGGGTAAGGTTTCTATAAATTCATGTTTTCTTCATCTCTAGTAAACATTGATTGCTCCTCAAATCTTCTTGTTCTTTAGATATTTATTTTTAGGTTAGAATCATCAATTATGATTTTATTTCTTTAGCAAAACTAAACATCATTAGATGCATGAAAATATCAATTTTATGTTTACCTTTTAATTCTCTTTTTTGTAAATTCTTTATGTTCTTATATAGTCTGTGTTTCTTTTTGAAAGATCAAGTTGGGTTTAATTTTGACCTCCTTTTTTTTTTTTTTTCAATCTTGTGTTGAATTTCTTAGTTTTAGTTGCATCTTTAACCACTTTTTTTTTTCTTACTACTATGCCTGAGAAAAATGGTTTTTTCTAAATTAAATTTATGATTCAAAGCAAAAGATCATCTAGGTATCTCAATAATTTTTTTTTGAATGTCTTGGATTTTGTAGGAAAATTGATTGATCATGAGTCAGAGTTCAATGCATGATGATAGGGAGCTTACTTCCCCTTCTCGTACTGTGATCTTAGTGGGACGGACGGGCAACGGAAAAAGTGCAACAGGGAACAGTATCCTTGGACGGAAAGCTTTCAAGTCAAGAGCTAGCTCCTCATCAGGGGTTACAACTACTTGTGAACTTCAGAGTGCCGTGTTAAAAGATGGTCAGATTATTAATGTCATTGACACGCCTGGTATGAACCATTAGACTCATTTGAGTTGCTAATTCTTGGTACTTCATGTGTGACACTTGCTTCCTCAACTATAGAAATAGAATGATCCTAGTGCAAATCACTTATACAATGTCTGTACTTACATCTCGATAATTACTTGCTTGGCTTTTCTTAACTTGATACCAACTGCAGGTATGTTTGATTTTTCTTATGGATCGGAATTGATGAGGAAATGTATTAATTTGGCTAAGGATGGTATCCATGCAATCCTTGTGGTTTTCTCTGTTAGGACCCGCTTCACACAAGAAGAAGAGGCTGCGCTTCGTAGCTTGGAAAACTTCTTTGGAAGCAAAATTAAAGACTATATGATTGTAGTTTTTACTGGTGGTGATGAGCTTGAAACAAATGATGAAACTTTGGAAGATTATTTGGGGCGAGGCTGTCCACAGCCTTTAAAGGTTAGTTTTTGACCTTGGCTATATGACTGCCAAAAATGAAAAAGAACGGTGGCCATAAAGCCTATAATCATCATTGGAACTTGTTGATCTAGATCCTCTCACCTTCCAAGACTCTTTGAACAGACAAGTCCTTTATAGTTGTACTTATCTTTATGCTATTTACCTTATATGGTTGTAGACTTCATGTTATTTTACACTCTATAGAGTTATAAATGCCAATTAATTACATTTTATGTTTTTAAAATGCTTGGTAGACTTACATATTTTGTTGTGGTAAATGATGTATAAGATATAAAATAAATGAAATTTAACCATCAATATAAATATGATGTCCTTGGGGCTGTGATAAACTTTAGCAAAAATGTACTCTTGCATTGTTGTGAGCTTTTTGCATACTTCTCTCTCTTTCAATTTTTTTACATAAATTAAAATCTAGTTTAATAGCCCTTGGCAATGCTTGTTTTAGTTTATAACTAAACTATCATTGTTAGGCAAGTGAACATGAACATTTTATTTTTTAATATTGATCTAGGCAATTCTCACTTCCTGTCATAATCGATATGTGCTCTTCGATAACAAGACAAAGGATGAAACCAAGAAAGCCAAGCAACTTCAACAGCTTCTTTCTCTTGTTAACACTGTTATGTTGCAGAATGATGGACGGCCGTATACTGGAGATACATCTCCCGAGTTGCAAGTAGGTTTATTCTTTTTTTCTTTTTTCAATTTTGTTGCATGAATAATATGGTTAGCATTGAAATTGTCAGAGCAAAGTTGAGATTACATTTGTGTGCATGCGTGGTCTCATTCATAAATAACAGAACAAAAAATAATAGAAATAAAAACAAAAAATAAAAATATCAAAGTTACTAAATGGACGCTTGCGTATTGGAGGGAGTTTTGTTTCAGTTTATGAAATATTTATATGCTGTTAGCCAATAAAAAACTAATTATATGCTATAGGCTCATTTGAAATTATATGGTATGTTTTGTTATTCACATAGATTGAGTCAAGGCTCAAAGAGGCTACTTCTATACTTGAACAAAAGTTAGCAGAGGAGCACGCTGCACGACTAGAGGCAGAAAAGAATGAACAAAAGATATCAAATGATATAATTCCTCAGCTGGCAGCGCAAGTAAAAGAAGCTAAGAAGGAGAGTGATAAGTTGCACAAGCAATTAGCTGAGGCAAGGGACAATCCTTGGGGTCGTATACTTCGGGATCGTTTACCTTGGTGTCCATATCTCTGACATGATTGCCGGCACGGCAATAAGATTTTAGTGAATGAAGTTTCTCCAAGTATGGTTATGTTTATATAATCGTCCTCCTCCCTCGTAAACTGAATAAATTGTTGGCTTATTATGATTAAGACCCTTGTGTAAATGCTCATGGTGCTGTATGGTATTGCAACTTATATATGACATATATTTATTTTTATCTATTTTGTGTTTGTTTTCCTATTTTGAGTAAGGAGCCGAGCACTGTTGAAAGTTACATGTTAGACATTTTCTAGTATTATGGGGTAATAAAGATTTTCTGTTACCCAAGACAACCTATCCGCTAAAAAAAAAAATTTCTATTTTGTTTCCTAATTAAAAATAAAAATAAGACATCCTATATAAAATGTGGAAAATATGGGCTAAAGATAGAAACCAAAGAAACAAATCTTGAGAATATGTGGTAGAGATACAAACAAAAATAAAAATTATGTTTTGCATACCACAAAATAAAAATTCTTGACTGAGGGAGGTGACCAAACTACCCAGTGATTTAAGTAATGTAATTTTATTTAATGGAAAAATAATGTAGTTAAATATTATTTAAATTATATAATATAAAATATATTAAAAAAAAAAAAAAACCAACTTACCATACACGTCGGTGATTCACCTGCACTCTCAAAAGCTGACCTGTCCATCCATCCCACATTCTTTCCTCTCTTTCTTCAACGTTTTCATGCTCTCTCTATCTCTACTCCATCCTAAACTCCTAATTCAATTCCGTGGTTTTCCCATCTCCTTGAATCCAATCAACGGAAGTTTGAAACTTTCATCTCTTCTCAAACGGGCCTGATTCAATCAATCAATCATTTAAACGAATTACCTTGCTTCGCATCCCAGATCCTTCATTTCAGTGGGCTTGAGTTTTTTCAATCCATTCCGATCGAATAACCCACATCAGTTTTATTGGTATTCAACTGTAAAAAGTCGATTTTTTTTTTTCTTTATTTGGATTGAATTGCTAATAAATGAGATTTTTGGGGAATTGGGGTTTTGTTTGTTTGTCATCCATAGGGATTCGAGCAGGAGGGCTGTGGTATCTTATTAGTTATTGGAGATTGCGGATGATCCATGCGGCAACTTCTGATGAGGACAAGCTTTTGCAATTTTCGCATGTTAGTATTGTGAATGAGGTACTCAGAATATGTTGTAACAAATTGCTTGAGATTTTAGTTAACCCACTACAAGATTAGAAAATTAATGAAATAAAAAAAAATTATACCACCATAAGAAAGACAGAATTTACTAGTTCAACTCCAATTTAATTGAGTTTACGTCCACGGGCACTCACAAGGAAAAATTCACTATTAAAATAAGGAGATACAATTTGTGGTACTCTCAGAAAAATACATAATTCCCAATTACACCCAAATCTTACTCACAGTATTTTTGAATGCGAGACACACTCAAAAAACACTCAGCAAAGTAATTTTAATCACTTTGCTCTTGCTCACCCTCACCCAAAGCACTCACAAAACTCTTGTATTTTCTAGAGCTCACTTTGCTTTGGATTGCTCTTCTTGGTGTGTTTGCCGAATGGCCAAATGGCCTTTTATAGCCAAATGCCAACCACCCACAATGAATGCAATGGGCTCCAAAGTCATCATCCAACCATGCACAATAAATGTTATATGGACAAAGTTGTAGCAACCAAATTTCCATTTCAAAGGTTGCCATGAGACTTCCAATTTTTCAACAAAATTGGGCTGCCATGAAATTTCCCATGCAACCAAATTTCAAAGGCTGAAATTTGCTTTTTCAACTACCATGCAGAACCCACATGCCGTAACAATCTCCACCTTGGCGAGCATTCGAAAAATAAGATTCAGGACCAATAGCTTCATTCCCTTGGTGCCATAATGCCTCGAGGGGCATTAAGCACTTTGGACACTAATCAAGTCCAAGCAATGCTTGAACTTGATTCCACTTACCGGCTTTGTCATCATATCCGCAGGATTCTCGTTAGTTGATATCTTTTCAACGAGCACATCTCCATTTGATATAACCTCCCGGACAAAGTGATACCAAACTTGAATATGTTTGGTTCTCTCGCGGTACATGGTGTTCTTCGTCAAGTGAATGGCACTTTGACTATCACAAAACACCATCATCTCATTTTGTTCTACCCCGAGATCACTAACCTAACCCTTTAGCCATAATGCTTCCTTTACTGCCTTAGTAATTTTCATGTACTCTACCTCAGTTGTTGACAAGGCGACTGTTGATTGCAATGTAGCTTTCCAACTAATGGCACACCCTGAGAGAGTAAAGACATATCCTATAGTTGATCTCCTTTTGTCCAAATCACCAGTAAAATCAAAGTCGACAAATCCGACTATATTTCCACTCGGATTAGCACTCTGATCATAGACTAGTCCAACATCTGTTGTGCCTCGTAAATACCGGAGGATCCACTTCACAGCTTCCCAGTGTCCTTTACCTGGATTAGCCATATACCGACTAACAACACTGACTAACAACACTGACTGCATGTGAAATATTAGGACGAGTACATACCATAGCATACATTAAGCTCCCAACAGCACTCGCATAAGGAACACGCGCCATAAACTTCTTCTCCTCCTTTGGTTTTGGTGACAAATTTGATGAAAGCTTAAAATGTGCTCCCAAAGGAGTAGTCACAGCTTTAGCTTCATGTAAGCCAAACCGCTCAAGTACTTTTTCAATGTACTTCTTTTGAGAGAGAAACAATTTACCTCCCTTGTGGTCCTTGTGAATCTCCATTCCTAAGATCTTCTTAGCTGCACCCAAGTCTTTCATCTCAAACTCACCACTAAGCTGCTTCTTCAAATCATCAATGATTAACATGCTTTTGGCAGCAATAAGCATGTCATCAACATACAACAGCAAGTAAACCCAAGAACCATCTCCAAGTTTTTTATGATAGAAATAACTATCATAGTTGCTCCGAGTGAATCTACTCTTAACCATGAGGTTGTCAAATCGTTTGTACCACTACCGAGGCGATTGCTTCAATCCATATAAGGATTTCTGGAGCAAACAAACATGATCTTCTTTTCCTGAGACTATGAATCCCTCTGGCTGAGACATATATATCCGTTCCTCCAACTCACCATGCAGGAAAGAAGTCTTTACATCAAGCTGCTCCAACTCAAGATCATATAAAGTAACCATGGCAAGTAAAACACGAATAGAGCTATGTTTCACCACAGGAGAGAATACCTCATGGAAATCAATACCCTCTCGTTGTGTGAAACCCTTCACAACCAATCTGGCCTTGAATCTGGGTGTCTCTACCCCTAGGATTCCTTCTTTTCTCCTGAAGACCCATTTGCATCCAACAATTCTTTGTCCCTTTGGTGGCTTCACAAGCTTCCATGTCTGGTTCTTATGTAGAGACTCAATCTCCTCTGTCATGGCAGCAAGCCAATAAGGAGATTCTTTACTGGTAATTGCTTCTCAATAAGTGTTGGGATCCTCAGCCTCCACTGGTTCTATAACTGATAGAGCATAGGCAACATAATTTGTGTAGCCATATCTCTGAGGTGGTTTGGTCTCCCTCCTCTGTCTACCAGTAGCAATATTATACTGCTGTTGTGTTTGTTCAGGTGCCTCCACCTCCATTGGAGTATTTGTTAGCTTTGGATCTTTCACCTCATCTAGATTCTCTTGGACAATACTATCATCCCACACTGCCTTTTTTGGAGTTGTTGCTTCAAACTCCACCTACTTGATAACTCCATGGTTTGGCTTTGCAATTATAGACTCCTCTTTTGCTTTTTGGAGCATAACAGACTCATCAAAGGTTACATCTCTACTCAAGAGGAACCGATGTGACTTTTGAACACACCACAGTTTATAGCCTTTTACCTCGGAAGCGTACCCTAGAAATACGCACTTCACTACCTTTGGCTCAAGTTTACCATCCCTAACATGAGTATACACAGGACAACCAAATATCCTCAACTATGAATAATCAGCAAGAGAACCTGACCATAATTCTTCTGGAGTCTTTAATCCAATTGCTGTGGATGGAGACCGATTTACAAGATAGCTAGCATGATTGACAGCTTCTGCCCAAAAGTCCTTTGATAATCCAGCATTTGAGAGCATACACTGTGCCCTCTCCAAGAGTGTACGATTCATCCTTTCTACAACACCATTTTGTTGTGGTGTCATCCTGATAGTGCGATGTCTCATAATTCCATTATTCTTGCAAAAAATATCAAACTCACCACTGCAGTACTCAAGACCATTATCTGTTCTTAGACGCTTGATTTGTTTTCCAGTCTGCTTCTCAATCAGCGTCTTCCACTGCTTAAAGGTGAGGAACACGTCACTTTTACTCTTTAAGGTGTATACCCACACCTTTCTTGAATAATCATCAATGAAAGTCAACATATACACAACTCCACCTTTTGATGCAATAGGTGAGGGACCCCACAAGTCTGACTGAATGTAATCAACTGTGCCTTGAGTTCGATGAACTCCTTTGCCAAACTGCAACCTGCACTGCTTGCCATAAACACAGTGCTCACAAAAGTCTAGCTTGCCAATTTTCTGGCCACATAGAAGACCCCGCTTGCTTAGCTCCATCATCCCTCTTTCACTCATATGCCCAAGTTGCATATGCCATAACCTAGTTACATCTTTATCTGGACTGCTTGAAGTTGACACAGCACATGTGCCATTGACTGTGCTTCCTTGTAAGTGATAAAGACCACCAACTTTCTTCCCCTTCAATATTACGAGAGCTCCTTTAGAGACTTTGAGAACTCCACCTGCACAGGAGTATCGACAACCCTTGGAGTCAAGCTCACTCATGGAAATGAGATTTTTCTTCAAACTCGGCACCTGACGAACCTTGAATGTTCTGACCATCCCATCATACATCTTGATCTGGATGTTGTCAATTCCAACAATAGGTAATGCTATATCATCACCAAGAACCACCGTGCCAGTGGCTGGTTTATATGTTTCAAACTAGTCACGTCGTGGGCATACATGGAATGAGCAACCCGAATCTAAAATCCATTCCTCACCAGAGGAGTTTGTAGAGACAGCTAGAACACAATCTCCATCATCTAAATTATCACTGCAACTAGCAATGTTAGCATCACCGAATTTTTCAGCTTTCTTCTCCTTGAGCTTGGGACAATTTTTCTTGAAATGTCCCGTCTCATTGCACTCGTAACATCGAGCATGCTTGGCTCTCGATTTGGATCGAGACTTTCCTCGCTTGTTAAAAGTTCTGTTATTTTGTCTACCTCTTATGACCAATCCTGTTGCTTGATTACCACTCTTGTCTCCGGACACCTTCTTCTTCAATTCTCTTGAATTCAAGGCCGCCTTGACATCTTCCATAGAGAGTTGATCTCTACTATGAAGATGAGTTTCAACAAAGTTGTCATAAGAGTCAGGCAATGAGCACAAAACAATAATTGCCTGGTCTTCATCTTCTATCTTTACATCGATATTCTTCAAGTCTAAAATGAGCTTGTTGAACTCATCAAGATGGTCTTTGATGGAACCACCTTCATTCATACTGAGGGTGAACAACCGTTTCTTCAGATATAATCGGTTAGTGACTAATTTGGTTAAGTAAAGGGCTTCTAGCTTCGACCATAATGCAGAAGCTGAATTTTCTTCTGCAACCTCCCCCAAGACTTCGTCAGAAAGTGAGAGCTGAATTGCACTCAGCGCCCGCTCCTTCAAGTCTATCTTCTCTTCCTCTGGTAGAGTTTCCGGTAGCCTTCCCTTTCTAGTGCTTTCCACAGCCCCTGTTGTACTAGCATGGCCCGCATCTTCAACCTCCATAAGTTGAAATTTTTGCCACCATTAAATTTCTCAATCTCGTACTTGGCTCCAGATGCCATCACGATTAAACCAATTTCTCAAGCACTAACCACTATCGTAGCTCTGATACCAGTTTGTTGGAACAAATTGCTTGAGATTTTGGTTAACCCACTACAAGATTAGGAAATTAATGGAATAGAAAAAAATTACACCACCACAAGAAAGACAGAATTTACAGGGTTTAGCTCCAATTTAATTGAGCCTACGTCCATGGGCACTCACAAGGAAAAATTCACTATTAAAATAGGGAGATACAATTTGTGGTACTCTCAGAAAAATACCTAATTCCCAATTACACCCAAATCTTACTCACAGTATTTTTGAATGCGAGACACACTCAAAAAACACTCAGCAAAGTAATTTTAACCACTCTGCTCTTGCT